ATAAGGATGAAACCTTTATGACACTAACATAATAGGTTACTGACTTCTGAAAGTATACTTTTAAAATTAGACTTTTTTTTCCTAGCTACAAATGGGAATTACTAAAGGTAGCAGTCTTTAAGCAGCATCTACTTTTCACAGAGTAGTGTCTTAATTTGAAAGTCTGACTTTTAAATTAATGTAATATGTGTCTGTCTATCAAATTGTTGTTACATTTTTTTCTCTCTTTCCTAAAGAAAATCCAGTGTTTTTTCCAGACTGAAAATGAGATTTCTTCAAAGGGAATGCTGAGTGTGTTCACATCAGGAGGACTTGCTCCCAGCTTGGGAATCATGAATAGTACATATAATGGCATCTTCCACTTTAATTTATCATTGGTAATTATATTTTATTTTATTCTGTGATATGTTAGTAACATACTCTTCTTCTTTATAGGACATTTTCTTAAAAAATAGGTAGTTCACTAATATTACATCTATGTATGTTTTAAACCCAATAATACAGTGTTATACTTTTTGCCTTATACAGTCATATATTTTTAAAGAAATTAAAAGAAGAAAAAATGCTTTTTGTCTCATTTACCTGCACATTTACTATTTATACTGTTCTTCATTCTTTGCTGTAGCTACAAGTTGCCATCTGGTGTCATTTTCCTTCAAGTTGAAGAACTTCTTCTAGCACTTCATACCAGTGCAGATCTGCTGGCAATGAATTCTCTGGGTTTTTTTCCCCCTTGAAAGTGTCTTTATGGTTTTGAACAACTTTATTAAGCTATAATTCATGTACCATACAATTCACCTATTTAAAGTATAAAATTAAATGATTTTAGTGTATTCATAGAGTTGTGCAACCATCACTATTATCTAATTCCAGAACATTTTAATCACCCTGAAAAGACAGCCCGTAACTATTAATAGTCACTCCCCATTGTCCACTCTACTCCCCAGCCCTAGGAGACCACTGATCTTCTATCTCTATAGATTCACCTATTCTGAATATTTTATGTAAATGAAATATAATATGTAGTGTTTGTGACTGTCTTCTTTCAGTTAGGATAATGTGTTCAAGGTCCATCCCTGCTGTGGCGTATATCAGTACTGCATTCCTTTTTATAGCTGAGTAATATCCCATTGTGTAGATAACACATTTTGTTTATCCATTTATCAGTTGAACATTTGAGTTGTTCCACTTTTTGGCTATTTTGAGTAATGTTGCTGTGAACATTTATGTAAAGGTTTTTGTGCAAAAATATGTTTTCATTTCTCTTAGATACATAGCTAGGAATGGAATTGCAAAGTCATGTGGTAACTCCATCTTTGACTTTTTGAGGAACTACCAGACTGTTCTCTAAAGTGGTAATGCTATTTTACACTCCCACCAGCAGTTTATTAGGGTTCCAATTTCCCCACATCTTCACCAACACTTTTTCATCTGTCTTTTTTGTAATAGCCATATCCTAGTATGGATATTAGTAGATATAAAGTGCTATCTCATTATGGTTTTGATTTGCATTTTCCTAATGACTAATGATGTTGAGTATCTTTTCATGTACTTACTGGCCACTTGAATATCTTTGGGGAAATACCTATTCAGATTCTTTGCCCATTTTAATTGGGTTATTTGTCTTTTTATTATTGAGTTGTAAAAGTTCTTTATATAGTCTAGATAGAAGTCCCTTATCAGACATGATTTGCAAATATTCTCTCCCATTTTGTGGGTTATCTTTTCACTTTCTTGATAGTGTCCTTTGATATATAAAATTTTTTTGATGGAAGTGCATTTTATCTATTTTTAATTCTGTTGCTTGTGCTTTTGGTGTCATATGTAGAAAACCATTGCCTGATCCAAGGTCATGAAAATTTATCCCTATGTCTTCTTCTAGGAGGTTTATAATTTTAGCTTTTGCATTTAGGTCTTTGATCCATTTTGAGTTCATTTTTTGTGTAGGATGTGAGGTAGAGGTCCATATTCCTTCTCTTGCAGGTGGATATTCAGGTGTCCTAGCAACATTTATAGAAAAGACTTATTCTTTTTCTATTGAATCATTTTGGCACTTTTGTTCAAAATAAGTTGACCATAAATGTGAGAGTTTATTTCTGGATTCTCAATTCTGTTGCATTGATCCACATGTCTATTCTTTTGCTAGTATCATGTTGACTTGATATTGTTGCTTTGTACTAATTTTTGAAATCAGGAAGCATAAGTCCTCCAACTTTGTTCTTTTTATTCCAAGATTTCTTTTGCTAGTGTGGGTCCCATGAGTTTCCATATGAATTTTAGGATAAGCTTGTCAATTTCTACAAAGTAGCCATCTGGGATTCTATTAGGGATTGTGTTGAATCTATAGATAAATTTGAGTGGTATTACCATCTATATAT